CACACACACACACTCACACACACACACACGCACACACACACACGCACATGCACGCACGCACACACACACACACACACACACACATCGCGACCTCAGTGTTTTCTTGTCCTATCTCCATTTTTTTTTAACAGTGAAAATATGACTTCTTCTCCTTAAGCTCACTCTTTGTTATGAGCTGTTTTCACTGTTATTAAAAAAATGGAGATAGGACAAGAAAGCACTGAGGTCGGCGCGACATGGTTCCCAGCTCTGAAACGTGATTTGCTGTCTGTGAATTGTCGACCAGTAACTGTAGAATTGATTATAAGATTATGTGAGTTTTAATCAGATTAGCACCATCACCTCATCGTTTATGAACCCATCAGGGCACGGACACTGTGTCCTTGGGAAAGACACTTTGCAAAAAATTGTCCTCCCCTCAGCCAGGTGGGAATGGGTACCTGCCTACGCCTGTACACAGCTGAAGATCTTATCAGTTTGTTACCGTAGTGGTTTTGCACTAGGAATCCGCAGCTTGCATTGTACGCTTCCTGCGAAGCTGAGAATGTTTCTGAGTGTTGCAGCGTCTGCTGGGATAGCGATGGTCGTAAAGCGCATAGAGCATGCTATAGAGTGTGGATATGTGCTGTATAAATTCAATTATTTATTATTATTACTGTTGTTGTTGTTTTAGCATCGACGTATTGGGTAGTGATGTCATTTCATCTCATGAGCCAAAATGATTTTCGCGCAAATATCTCCAGAAATGACGTAAAAGTTGGTTTCGCACGAGAGTGAAAGATCTGATTTCTTCTTTTTGTATAATCAGTATGATTTTTGTTTTTTGTATTCATTTACTGGAAGTTTATGTAATGCAATAGCTTCAATTATTACTTCTTTTTCATGCTCAGTTTCAGGTAAATATACATGCACTCTTTTAATAGAAAGAATGCCTGAGGATTAGAAGCCAAAAAGTACATTTCAGAAAACCCTGCAACGCGTTATCTATTTATGAATTTATGAATATTGAGACTGGAAGAGACGAAAGTCCCTCTGTTGGGAATGCTGAGTGGTGCCAATAAACTATTTATTATGTGCTTCTTGTGATGATTAAGATGTATCAAACTATTTTACTTTTATTTTAACTTCGCTCGATGAACCTGGTACCCAGTTGACGTGCAGGATTTTTTCTGGGAATATCCAAATTACAATCGAGCATGCACATCGCGACCCCAGTGCTTGCTTGTTGTATCTCCATTTTTAATAACTGCGATAAAAATGGAGATTCGACAAGAAAACACTGAGGTCGCGACATAGCAAACATGCACATAGCGAACAGATGTTCAGGTTCCATAGTGTTTCTTTATACGTATATTATATTCTCCGTATTTACATGTACATGATAGGGAAATTCGCACAAAACATATTTCCACAACCCGCCGATTTCATTTTGTGTGTGCGAGACTGTTATAATATGGAACAAGATCTTTGTGATTTTATAACCAAACCATTACCCCAACCACATTGCTGTCTTGTTTTGGTGTCTGTATTATTATTCATAATGTCATTTATTCTCCTGGGTTACTTTCCTTTTATTAAACACCTCCACTTGTGACATAGAAGTTCTGACAAGTTTTGCTTATTTCATGAAACGCCTGTGCATCTCGGCTGTCCAATCTTTGAAAGGCTGTTCCATCTGTCAAAGGCTGTTCCATCTGTCAAATTTTGTTCATCAACTTGAGTCACTAGTGTGCTAAAACGTTCAATTTTTATGTGCACTGAAAGCTTGTTTAATTCTTGATGGACTCATTCAAGTGAAACTATCCGCATGTCAGTGAGTGTCGAGGAGCCCGATGTGTGAAGACAGGGCAGAAATACGTCCCTTAGGATGTTCTTTGTCATCACTCACCCCAGCCGTGGTAGGTTCTTGGCCCTTGTCATTTTCCCTGAAGGATAGTCTTTTAGTCTGCACTATTTGTGCGCGACATCGGACTGACTGTCTAGCTGCTGTCATCGAGAACGAGGAAGAAAGTCTTTTCATTTAGTTTTAGTAAGAGTTTTACGGCACTTGCAACACAAAAATTGTAAATTAATTGTCCATTCCAGCTCTCATTGTTCTCAGAAAATGTCAGAGCATGCTGACTGCATCATGGTCAGCTATTTCTGGAAATTATTTCTGCGAGTTTTGTTACTTCAGCCGCTGCCTGCACAACGTATGTACTGGTGGCATCAGACTCGATCCAGGCCAGAGAGTACAGTCTAAATTTATAAAAATTTCTTCATAATGAAAAAATTAAAAACCCATCTTTCTTTGACAAATTATTATGCCAACACAACATTGTATGTTCTAAGATAAATATTCTTGTATGCTAAGGTTTCATTTTTATTGCAGTTTTTTTTTCTTGTTCAATGAAATCAACATCGTCCTGGGCTTTCAACATTGATGCTTTTGTAAGCAGCCAGCTTTGGATAAAATATTGATCTGAATGTCTGCCTCATCCAGGCACTTGATTCCCTTCCCTGGTCCCTCTGCATGTGTAACTATAATGACAGGCCTACATGTACATCTGTTGAAAGAGAAAAAAATTTTACTCTTTTGTTTCCACTTGAGGATGTATAATTTTTTTCTTCCATCATGAATTATCTTTCGCATCAAATTTCTTTGTAATCCTTAATTTTAATTTTGTGCACTTTCGCAAACTTTTACTTGAATGTATTATTTTCTTCTTCTGTCATATCTTGTGTCAAATTTCTTGGTTAACTAATTATATGTACACATATCGCGACCTCAGTGCTTTTTTGTCCTAACTGTATTTTTAATAACCGTGAAAACAGTTCATAACAAAGAGTGAGCTTAAGAAGAAGTCACATATTATTTGACTATATCGAAAAAATGGAGATACGACAAGAAAGCACTGAGGTCACGGTATGTATACCGTACCTTCACGATCTGTTCTCTGCTCCGAGCCTTGCTTTGTAATGGAGAATTCAATACAAAGGATGCTGGGGATTTAAATAATACTCCCATACCTTCAGCAGTGGCGCAATCGAGCTGATTTTGTAACAATATGTTCCCACTGCTAGGTCTGAGAACAAACTTTGACGTCTCATCCACCTTTTTGTATAATGTACGCTCCTGCCAGAAAATAGTTGTGATGCACATAAGACACGGGTTCTATGCAAATGGTGGGGGGGGGGGGGGGCTTTTATGTGCTGTCGTTTTAGTGCAGGGGAGATAATCATTACAATTTTGGCTGTATATATAAACCAAAAGGTCCTGCACTTGATGGTTGTGATTCGGAAATCTTTAAATTTTCTTCTTTCTTTTCGATGTTAACCAAGTTTACTTAAGTTGTCAATCAACAAAGAAAAATTTCTAAAATTCTTTTAATTTGTTAATTAAACTCTTCACAAATGAATTTTTGAGCAATTAGAAAAAAATTCTGTTTAAGTGAACTAGATCTACTTTTTTAAAGGTTATGTGGCTCTTTTTGGTTTGTTTTTGTTCCTGAATCTAGATATATAGCTCTGCTGATATTTGGATTTTTTGTAAATCTCTGGGCCAGGGAAATCACCTGCAGCAAAAATTTGAAAAGAAATCTGCAGGTTTAGTTTTAGCATCTAGTGACGACGGTCACACTTTCCTTGATTTTGAGGTGAGGCAGTGTGTGAAATCAGACGATCGTCAAAATAATGAAATCCGAGAAATCAGCATTTTTCGGCCAGTTCGGATTTTTTTTTTCAAAATTTTTTAAATTTGGCTCAACGCCTTGTCCATTCAAAAACACTTTTATGTGTTGATTTTGTGGAAAAACATTGATTTAGGCACTCAAAAAATGTCAATTTGCAGTTTCTTAGGACACTTAAACTAATGAACTCACCAAACTTTGGCGGCTATTTACTCGCTAATTTTACTTCTGAAACCAGGTGACCCCACCTCCTTCAATCATAAATATCTCCACTTCTATTCAAGTTCAAGATAAATGGATTTTTTTTTTTCTTTGAAAGCAAGACAAATGAATAACCTTTAAGTTGATACCCATAACTCCATAGGGCTATGCCCAAAAATTGACGAGCTCCTGATTCCACTGCGTCGTGACTCAAATGTTGATTCTTGTAGAACTCAAGAGAAAATTGCAGAAAAGTTTTTTTCACGCTCTTCCTTCCTCGCATTCCTCCCTGGCGGCTTGTGCCTTATCCACTCCTTCCTTCCTTCCTTCCGCTCTTTCCAGATTTTGTTGGAATTTATATTGCCTTTCTCCTGATGCCTGTAGTATTATTTAATTTGTCTTTATTTTGCTTTGATTTTTAGAAGCTCGTTCCACTGTTTGTTTGTTTGTTTGTTTGTTTGTTTGTTTGTTTGTTTGTTTGTTTGTTTGGGGTTTTTTTAAACATACGGCGTGTAATCTGTTTGAATTTATGTACACACGGTTCTTTTTTCATGTTGCCATATTAATCAAAACTGCCTTATCAAAGTTGGAATCATGGAAACTGCAATAAAAGTCCAATTATCTCACCATTAACATCTTTTTTGAGTCACTTTTTTTTAAAAA